CAAGGCTCTTCAGGGTTGGTCTATTGTGCACCAGGTATCGCCACATGGTAGACTAGCTGTCCCAAACGATGAAGATTACAACTTCAACCCAAACACATATGATGGAGAGTTCTATCAAGAAGATGGGCTACAAGGGAGGTTGGTGATAGACTTAACCGAGGCGATTGGAATGGAAGTAAACAATGAAAGGGGATGATGAGGAAGAAGAGATGAGGTGCAAAATGCCAAGGACATAGAAATGCTTGAGCGATTACATTTAGATGATGACGATGAAGGCAACATTGAACCTTCGGACAGTCTTGTTTATTTGGACAATTTTGATAGTGATGACGAGACATATGATCCAGATAATCCCAATAATGATGATTACTTCTAATACATGTAATACTATGTTATTTTGTAATCATGTTTTGTTTATTTACTTAGCATCTATTTCTAATACATGTAATGATGTCTTGTTTGTTTTTTTAATTGCATGTGATTGAACAAAGATGGCGGCGGCAAGGGGCAAGGAACGTGAACTCGAGGTACCAGAGGGCACGTGAGGACGCAGATGCTTGGAGAGAACGATCGACGGGAGGAGGCAGAGGGGCGAGCAGCGGGCAGCGGAGGCGGCAGCAGGAGATGGGCCAGCCTCCTCTAGTCGAGCCGTGTGGCGTGCCGGGAGGAGGAGCGCCAGTACCACGGACTCCTCGGAGGACGAGCAGTTTCAGCGATGGACGAGGTTCGAGGCGATGGACAGCGAGGAGAGGCACGGGAGGGCGGCGAGGCCGAAGTAGTTCCACCGCCTCTGCTGCGGCTAGCCCCTACTTGCGAGGTCCCTCAAAACTCCGTGGGCCTCCGCTTCCTCCCCTACGCCCAGTGATCCACCCCCAGGGGGACAGGTAACTAACTTTAGATTTAATCACAGCTACTTCATATAACTGTTGAAAATTGTCGAGAAACTAATAATGTTTGTTAATGACTTGTGCATGCCTTCGGGAGGTTGTGTCGCTTTGGTGACTCACGCAATCCCAACCACATCTTGGGGCTTGTGTGCAGGCACTATTACCCCGGCAATGTCACGCACAAGGGGACCGTGGGGGCGGCCAAATCGTGGGACCACTACAAATCGCCCCGACGCAGATTATGAAGACAAGCGGGGCGAGCGGGTCGGGAGAGAGTTACAGGTAAGTCTCGTTCGCATAACTTTGATCAATACATCGCATTCATTTGACACTTTTTGACATAATGAATTGATACATTGTGTCTGTCTGCAGACTTTTTCGTGTGTGAAGAGGGGGACGGGAGGAAAGGGCGGAGAAGAACTTGGTGAAAAGTGCCGAAAACGCATCAACGACATGCACTACGAGGAGCGCCTCACTTGCATCATCAAGTACTACGCCACGCGACTTGGTCGAAAAAATCGGCCAAGACACGAGCAAGACAGATGCCTCGACCGGGAACAGTTCCTTGAGGTAAATGAAGAAGAATAATACCGATTCGTTTTGAGATTAAGTAGATTTCATTTGGTCGTCTTACATCTCAAATTCTTTATGACATGTAGATGATTCCATGGTGGTGCGAGTCCTTTGCCGACTGGCTGGGAGATGATCGTGGATAGGTGGTTCACGAGAGGGTTATATCCAGAACAGGAAGCCCACCGGGAGCGGGCTTTGCGGGCGACAGGCCCCACACACCACCAAGGCGGCCGCAGCCCTCGGCGCGTACAAGCAAGCTTGGGTGCGTGAATTCATTTTAGTATTCGACGCTCCATTCTACATGTTTCTTCTAATCATCTTGTTGTCTTTCTCGCAGTCGGCGTCGCATGGTGGCCAGCCTTTGTCCACGTTCATGGCGTATGGACTAGCCCGCAAGGGAAAGGCGACTTCCGTTGTCACCTTCAGCCCGGATGACCCACCCGAGTCATACAGCAACCCGAGCGCCCACACCCGCATCAGCTCCTACGCGTCGGAGGCAAGGTCGGTCCAGGGGCCAGACTGGGATCCGAGCATCGACGACATTGATGGCACGACTGTCATGAGGATCGGACAGGGCAAGAAGCATGGGCGGTACTGGCTTGGCGATGGCACCCTCGAGTCCGGCTCTGTTCCCTCCCTCTCCCAGATCCGAGCAAGTACCCCGAGCGGAGGCCCGGCCATACGCCAACGGCCGTCCCCTTCACAGCAGCGGGTCGACGCACTCCAGGTTAGTCCAGTTTAACTCTTCGTACATTGATCTTTACATAACTTAGTTACCTTTACATTACTAAAACATTCGATTGAAATGTTGCAGGCCGAGAACAAGAGGATGGCTCAGGAGCTGCGGGACCTAGCGGCGAGGACCGAGGTGGCCGAGCGGGAAAGACAAGCCGAAGCGGGCGGCGAGAGAGCCAAGCAAGTTGGGCGGAGATTACGATGTTCTGCAGAGAACTTTGGACAAGTGAACGGTGTACTGTGCGATGTTCGCTCCAAATACCACCGCCAGATTGTATCTAGTCCAGTGAGTATGAATCCATATTGCTTCGACTAGTGCTTTCATTAGATGACTCACTCTAAACGCCTGAATCTCTTGTCCTTTATGCAGCCTCCGTCGGCGGGTTCGAATAACCCATCTCAGGCGCAAGCAGGCAGTGCCGAGTTTCCTTCACCAGGCACTCAGTTTTCTCCCCACCTTTAGTTTGTATCTCTTTTTCACCACTTGATGGACATGTGATGCACTGTGATCCACTATCGACTTGTTTCGATGGTAATTGGACCTATTATGTTTGTGATGTCGTGTATGTGAGGTATTGTATTCGCGATGTGATATATATGTGTGGGATTGAGTTTGTGATGAGATGGATGTGATATATATGTGCTATATTGTCTTTGTGATGATTCAGATGTGATATATATCTTTTATATGTTGTGTTTGTTATTATAGAATCAAAAAATTAAATTTGAGGCTTAATTTTGAGGCTTTGCAGGTGCCTTATACAGCACTTTCGGCAAACACAGGAATTCCTTTCAAATTCCTAGCTTTGCCGAGTGCCGAGGCAGGGCACCCGCAAAAGTTTTTCAAAAAAAATTCTTTGCCGGTGCCCCATGACCTGGCACCCGGCAAAGAAATTACAAAAAAAATAAAAAACTCTTTGCCGGGTGCCCCCGCGGTGTGACACCCAGCAAAGAAATTATAAAAAATAAAAAAAATCTTTGCTGGGTGCTCTCCCGACACGACACCCGGCAAAGAAAATTTAAAAAAAAATTAAAAAAATCTTTGCCGGGTGCCTCTGACATGGCACCCGGCAAAGCAAGGGATGACGGAGCCGGCACCGTAACGACCACTTTTCTTTGCGGGTGCTGGATTTGCACTCGGCAAAGTCTTTGTCGGGTGCCCGATAAAAAGCACCCGGCAAAGAAATCTTTGTCGACTAATTTTTTGTCGGAGGCTCTTTACCGAGTGCTGCACCCGGTAAAGGCTTTGCCGAGTACAAAATAGCCTTTGCCGGGTGTATTTGGCATCCGGCAAAGCGCCTGAATCCAGTAGTGGCGAGCGGCGTGCATGCATATGAGTGGAGATGGGAATTTGTTCTGAAAGAGATACGTGCTCGCTCATGCTTTCTGCCAAGCCGTGCCACCTGCCCGTTCGGATCGAGGATGGAAGAAAACTCCAGACGCGCACGCATCATATTACAGAGACCCGTGTCTAGGAATTTTTGATTGAGATATGAAGCTTGATCAGGCTATAGCTATAATAGACGGGTACCAGTGAAGATATGTCCAAGGCAAGTGCAAAAAAAAGGGGGTCATATATATATATGGGGCTACATGTTTACTATATATACTTCAAGAAAAATGATAGAAAAGCCAAGTGTTTATACGGTTTATTTACATTTGTTAATTTGTCACTGTAAAACAGTACGGTTTTTTCTGTTTATATGTTCTAGTAATTCTACACTTTATGTTGTAGGATATATGTTTTATATGATTAGAACCAACGCTAAACTAAAAATTCCCAATATTGATATTTTTGCTGAAGAACAAGAACAAATTGACATATATAAGAGTCAACTATATATAACTTGGTTAAATTGAATGTGGGGGAGCGAGTCCAGCTGCAAAACTACTGAAATCGAATTTTTGGAACAAGAATTATATTAAATTTTACAGAAAACATACAGCGGCATTAGTGCTTTAATCAATGTAGTGCAGGTTCAAGTGATTTTGCTGCAACTTTTTGTCCACTGGACCTTTTTTCCCTTTGTACAAGGTTGTTTAGATGAATTTGGTTATATCCTAATATTTCATCCATGAACTACCGACAGGTACACACACTGCAGAGATGACCGAGACGATACGAATAAGGGCGCCATTTGTTTGTGTATATGATGAGAGATATTGCGATAACCAACTTTGTGTTAAATAAAATGCACACCATCTAGAATCTTATAAATATAACTCAATATTAATTTAGAGCGAATCAAAGCAAGATTGACCCTGGATTCGTGTTCTTTTCACTTGGCAAGGGCATGAATTTCAGAGTTTTTAACAATGGTCGCTTGTTGGATATATTGTAAGCATAATAAAACATGCAGCAGTTCGGGCGGACGGTGACTGCTGTATCAGCTTGCATTCATATGCATAATACTTCTCGACCGTTCGACATATATACGGTGTAAAGTTTACAATACCAATCTTGATCATATAGACGATGGTCCGCGAGATTCACATCAAAACGCATATTGTTCATCTCATGTTGGCGCCCTGTGTCAACACAGCTTTTTACAGCACGGAGAACCAGCTTTATTCAGATCACGAGCTTATTTTTACGTCGTTCGTACAGGCGATAGCTGCATGCGTGCGTGCACCCACGCTCGCGAAGTGAGTACACACATACAGTCATACATACGTATGGAGATCGACACGTACATACGTACTTGATACATACACACACACACATATACGTGGCTCAGGGTCAAGTCCTGGTTCAGATCATGAAACGTGCGTCGATCGAGCCCGGCCGCGTGAAGAAGCTGGTCATCAGTTGTCGGCCTTGAGGACGAAGTTCTCCTTGCGCTCGTGGAACTCGCCGGTGCAGGTGTTGACGTCCTCCTCGAACTTGGACTCGCGGGCCTCCAAGTGGCCGTGGCGGCCGCCGGCGCGTGAGACGCTGTCGACCTCCTCGAACTTCTCCTTGACGACGTGCTGCTGGACGCCGCCGTGGCCGCCATGATGGCGACCAAAGCCGGCAGGGCCGCCGGCCACCGACTTCACCTCCTCCGAGCAGTAGTCCACCTCCTGGTAGTGAGCCATTGGTGATGCTTGGTGTTTGTGTGCAGTGCCTGTGCCTGTGCTTCGAGAAGCGGTTGTGATTTGTGAATGTGTGTGAGACTTGTGTGCTGTGGATGCTAGGGTTGGGTGGGCTTATATAATGTAGAAGAAGAAGTGCATGAGTGGAGTAGTGAGGAATAATCTGATCACGACTCATAGGGGAAAACATAGCTGTCATCAACTGCTTTATTCATGCAAGCTTTCTTGCGCTTTTTAGCACCTCTAGAACAATTTGGACTATATTGGCCAAGATTCGATATTTTTTATCTTTTTTTTCAAAACCGACGGCAGGACTCTGCACGGCCTGTATTATGATATAGAAGGGGTTTTCAAAACAAAGTAGAGATGCTAATTTACAGGTGCCTGAAAAGTAGTCAGGCTCTCAGGCGACGCTTTACAGTCGTTGGATTTGATTGAATGGCTGGATCATTGTCTTCAATCTCTAGCGTTAGCTGCTGCAAGGTTATTAACCACCGATGGGGCAGTCTAATGCAGCAAGCCAGCAAGGTGAGGCTCCACCGCAGGGACACACGGCCACTCGCCCACTAGTCTATGTGCCTCAGCGCCTGTGGTCCGCGGGTTGGGCGAAAGCAGGAAGCAAGTAGCAGAGCTGCATCGCCTGAACATGACTAAAAACCCAGTCGCTGATAGATAGGAATTGTGATAAACCTATTTAAGAGAAAAATAAATGAATGCATCGCCTGAACAGGACTAAAAACTCAGTCGCTGATAGATAGAAATTGTGATAAACCTATTTAAGAGAAAAATAAATGAACTTCTTAGCCAAGGAGAGAGTTTGGCCAAGGTAAGTCACTCAAAGCACACAAACTTGATAAAAAAATTGGATCATCTCTGGAAGTAAAAGATTTTTTTATTTAGTTCAGGAACAACAGGCCGATTGCTACATGGGTGGCTACGGGCCCTTTTAAGCGACCTAGCCCGAAAAAAGAACCCCAGCCTGCTACTATATATGTGTGAGCATTTATAACTTCACCATAAATAATTTTTGGCGTGGTTAGCACTCGGACGATAGCCTCTATCCGGACATCCAGGCCTATACTTGGCCAAACGGGCCGCCCGACACAGCACAGGCACGGGCACGGCCAGGCACGGCACGGCTAGGCACGACACTACGCGGCACGGTAGGTTAGCCGTGTTGTGCTTGTTAGTGCCGCCGTGCTGAAGTATTGGTCCAGGCACGGCACTATAAGTGCTTAGGCGTGCCGTGCCATGACACTGAGCCGTGCCATGAAATGAGTGGACGAGCAGATAGGATATGACGGAGAAATGAGTGAACGAGTAGATAGGATATGGTAGGATAGAATAGTGTCGTTGGACTCACGGCTCATCAACAAGAGCGTTTGGATAGACGGAAGCCCTATAGGAAGTATTGCATACCGAAAATTGAGTGGCGGCTTGTAGTTGTAGCCCTTGCTAGAGGCCACTGTTCTGTTTTAACTACAACTACTTGTAGGGTTCATATGCAGTTAATTGTTTCTAATTAGAATATTTTTAGCATAAAATAGCTAATTTAAGCATTCAGCTGACGGTGGGTGTGGCAGGCGTGAAACATAAAAAGTGCAGCAACGAAAATCCATTTGTACAGAGAGCGCCCTACACCTATGTTTGCAGCAGTGAATTCAATCCGACTGCCTGTAGTTACCAAGCAAAGCGACAATCGGCTCACAACTCACAAGTTGCCACTTAGCATGTGAGAATATATACTTGCGTCTCAGCCTGCACCGCATCTCACCTCAGATCAGTAGGGATCGACACCGCTAGTCGCCATGATGTGATGGCATCCTAAGAATATTATTCTAACAGGACATGCAAAAAGCATCCGCATGCTCCAATCACCTTTCGGCCAGCCATGGCTAAAGAGCCACCGTTGGTTTTACAGCGTTGAAGAACTCTAGACTGTTGCGCTGTATTGCTTGTCTTGTTGTACACACTAGTAAAGTAGTAATCGGCTAGGCATATTACACATGCATGGTCCAACACTCCCCATCAAGATGGTCAATAGCTATTTTACCATACATTTTTACTCTTAATTACATATTTTGTTAATTAGAAAGTCAGAAATTTTACCACCCAAGCTTGCCATGGCTTCAACATGCCAACATCTAATCTAATCTTGATAAAGAAACGACCTATCTCCACATATTTGCTCTATCCAGGGGCGGATTTAGGGGGTGGGGGAGGGATAGTGGAGCCCCAGTTTAAGTCATAGGAGAAGAAGAAGAAAACAGAGAAGGAGATCAATAAGAAGAGGAGGAAGAAAAAGAGGAGGGAGAGAGGTGGATGGATCTCTCTCCTATCCATTTGTATTGCATTCATCGCTGACTCTATCTAGAATCAGATTATTCGCATTGATATATGGCTGACTTCTTGTCGCACCCTTAAGGGGCTCTCTCTAAGCACATTCAACTTTGGGAAAAGATTTCATACCCATAATGTGCATTTCATCATTCTAAGTGCATATCGCGGTTGAACAGGACACTACTCATTCCTTCCTTGCTCCTTCATGACACTAAGTTTCCATAAGAAAACACACAATAGCCTGAAGTTGATCTCCTATCGTCAAGCCAAATCCCTCAATCAACATTCTAGTTTCTCGCTACATCGTTTGTAGATCAAATCATGCTCAAGGAGATTGCTTAAGACCAAACAAAGACTTCTTTAGTATACCTCCTTTTCAGCCACCTCAGTTTTAGAATAAGCAAGAGGAATCTCCATGTACACAAATTCTTGGAGACCACCATGCAAGAAAGCACCTTTTACATCCAACTGATGCAAAGGCCCTCTAATTTTTTTTTTCATGAGAAATAAAAGCTCTCATTGTACTCATCTCCATTACCAATGCAAACATCTCTTTGTATGCTTTAAAAAAATCTGTTTGTAGTTTAGTTACTGACATATGTCTGCTGGCTATATACCCTTGCATTGATATTTGTATCAAGTCACAGTAAATATCCAAATTACATAGGAAAGAATCTAAAAAAATTAACAATATTCTATCAAGTCATTGCAACATTTTCTTCTCTAGTGGCTTTGGTCGACGTAGTCGGTGCTACATATGAAAAGAGTCTTCAAATACCGAAGCCAGAGTAAAGTCATTATGCCGAATACACTGACCAACTCTAAAACCTTGGACATGACATAAGAACCAACATTCCGGGACCCTAACGAAACACATCCGAATCGATCAAAGAACATCAGTGGTTAAATCATCGAGTACAGCATAGGCTGCAGATTCAACACTTCCAAGGCTCCAACCCTTGATCCATCAAGTTAGACGTATGATTCTCTCTGTGGCTATCTACGGTGAGGTCAACGCCCTGGAGTTAATCCCCACAAAGAGTGTTCCTGAGCACTCTTTTCCTTTCAGATAGTAACAACAAATTGATCTCTTGTTGATGAAATCGACTCCTGTAATGGTGACCTCGTTGTGGCCATTGTTGAAGTCATATCCTAGCAAAACATTAGTGATGATTTCGCCAGTAGATTTATTTGGACTAGATCTAAAAAACATTAATTATACATGAGGTATTATATGGAGCCTCTCCTTGCCCCCAGCGGCCTCGCTGGAAAGGAAGAAGGACCCGATGTAACTCAGGGGGGGGGGGGGCTGGCCTCCCCAAATGTTCCACGGACTTTATTAGATGTACCACTTATATTAATCACCTTTATAATCACTAGTAATTAGCTAATTAAGCAGCCGCTGCCAAAGCCCAATTAGAAGAAAACTTAGCCCAGTAATCAAACGTTGGACTCTACCAGGGCGGCGACGCTTTCCCTTCAAGTGGTGATCGGCCATTGGCGTGAATGCGAATCGACCCTGCTCGGACTCGCGGACTTCTCTCCTTGTTTCCGTCCCTGCTTAGTTTCAACCCATGTAAGCCTTAGTTTCAACCCAAAATCCAAAAAAGTGTTACAGTAAGCCATATTATAGCAGCAAGCCAAAATCCCATGTTTAGTTTCAACCCAAAATCCAAAAAAGTGTTACAGTAGCCATCACATCGAATATTTGCGGCCCGTGCATGGAGCATTAAATATAGACGAAAAAAAACTAATTGCACAGTTTGGTGGGAAATTACGATACGAACGTTTTGAGCCTAATTAGTCCATGTTTAAACACTAATTACCAAATAAAAACGAAAGTGCTACAGTAGCCTAAAATTCCAACTTTCCAAAACTAAACACGCGCTAAGTTAATGCAGCGTCACACTACAATAGTACACTAGTGGTAGTTTATATTTTCTATCCATTATCAAATAGTCAAATTAGCGAGATGTAATGGAAATACATTGCCTTAATTTTGTATTACAAGACATATGCTATATTATTTTGCTATACGCGTTATGATTGAATTGATATAACAATAGATATACGTATGTATAATTATATTTATTTTTACTTCATATTTCTTTTTATTGTTCCCTAAATTTTGTCAATGTTCGGTGCCTTGGCGGGTTCCTCCCCCTCTATATATAAATCCTGGCTCTGCCCCTGCTCTGCCACATGTATAGTAGTATAATATTGAGAGAATTCCTTATTTGACACCAGACAAATGACCCGTTCCTTTCTTGGCCCTCAAAAAATTTATGTACCCTATTTGACACCGAGTTCAACTTTCGTTCCTTACACGACACTCCGTCGGGTTTGCCATCCGTGAACCGTTAACTGACATGTGGGCCCCACCACCCTTCTCCCCTTAACTGACATGTGGACACCAGACAAAACGACGGCGGCGCTTGGACGGGGCGCATCCGCGCGTGGAGGTGGCGGCGCAGGCGCGCTCGCGTGGCCAGGGGCGCGTCCCGTCCCCGCAGCTCACCCCGCACCCGCTCCCGTCGCTCCACTTCTTCCGCTCCCTGCCCAACGGCGCCGACCTCCTCTCGCGCACCGCAGCACCTCCTCAGCTGCTACGTCTCCCTCCTCCCACTCCTCGCGCGCTCCGGGGAGACCGCCGCCCCAACGCC